GGCAAAGCATGTTTCAGAGCGTGTTTGCACCTAGGCATTTATTCTGTGCTCTGCACCATTTGTTCTCACTTGTCTCAGTTGTGGTGTTGTTTGTAGGACTACACCATAACTGAATTTCTGGGATAGCCTGGCTTTTTGCCTCTGGATAAAATGTAATATAGACGTACTTCATGAAGAATCTAGGATTCAGTAAGGTGTTGGTGTTCTGTTCAGCACTGAGGGTATTCTCACTGGTTTGCTTTGCGGGGTTCAGGTCAGACTGTTTTCACTGGGAGGTTTCTGCACAGGGCTTGTGCCCCTCTCATTCCCTGCACTGACAACATGGGGGAAAGTTTGTTTTTCACAGCCCTCGGATCTTCACTGCTGTTCCTTGGGGCAGTGCTTCTCCTGGTGTCACAGGCTGCATCTTCAGCTTTGTGCTTGTGATTAGTTTGTTGGAGGTTTGCTTGGTAGATTGTTAGTGTCTTCTAGATGGCCTCATATTAACTGTTAGCTTTTTCCCATTGGCAGGAAGATGAGAATTTATATTTTAGGACTTGTATTGGCACTGTGAAGCTCCATTCTTGGTTTTAAAATAGCCTAGTTTCACTCTATTTTTAGCGCTGCTGTCACCACCAAATCTGCAGGTTTTCATCTCTGTTCTTCACGCAACAGGGCAGTGGTTGCTAATGCTAGATATGCCAAGTGTCTCTGCATGTGTTTGTGCCACCTGCACATCCTGGCCTTCCTGAAGAGGAGAGGAACATGGTATTAGATTCTAGATTCGCCAGCTTGGTGAATCTGCAGGTTTAATCTTGGACTTGGATGCTCAAGACACGAACCCGAGCATGTGTGCCAGTTACCCGGCTAACCACTGGGGTAAAACATGTTTGGTGCTTGGGGCACCCATGATCCAGGTAATACAGCCCTGAAGAGACCAATTCATACTCTCGGTGAGCTTATGATCTCCATTTTACACTTTTTGCTTAGACACTACCCAGCAGCACAAGTGAATACTTTGGGTTTGGTGAGATTTTGCTTTTATGGTCTGTCAGAAAATGCAGATGTATTATTTTCTGTAATGAAACATTTCCAAATTGGCTGTCTGGCGGTGAAACCCACATTTAAAGATACGTAATTGTTAGCAGAGTTCCAGGCATAATTCATGACCTTTTTTTTGCTGGTCTGAAATGGTAAAAGGAGGCAGTTTCTGAAAATAAGCCTGTATTTTATAAATCCTATTTTTATGTGCTTGAGGTGAAAGTTTTACACTTTATAGAGTTTTTCAGTTGAGGGAAATCATTGCATTAAAGTGGGGATTTTATGATGGACTCAATAACTTTGTTTAAAGAGGTGATTCAGCCTGCATAGTAGACTTCAATTTTCAAAAAGGCTTTGGCATTATCATAACCTATGCTTTTTGAGAAACCGTGCAGGTAACCCAAGGGGAATTTGCTTTTCCAATGCCTACCTAAAGAACAGGAAGAAAAGGAGGAATATATGTTTTGTCACAAAGTACAGTATGAAATGATTAGCTGGTAATTTGGTCCTACAGCAAATAAATGTTGGTTCCCCGTACTCATCTGTACTGAAATCTCTGACACACAACTAACTCATAAGTTGACCTGGAAGTGGGTTGGACAGTGAATTTGCTAAGGAAAAAAAAATCACTGAAGAGTTGCCAAAAGGTCTTGTGATAGATGCAATTGGACAATAAAATGGTAGGTGACATTTAGGGATGGTAAATGCAGAGTAATGAATAAAGGGAAAGATAACCCCCACTATTCCTACAATTGGATGTGCACTGTACTGTGTTAGTTACTGACACTCAGAAAAGAGTCTTTGTCCTCACTCTGCATAGTTCTGTGGAAATATGAGGTCAGTATTAAAATGTAGTCAAGGCAAATAGAAGGCAAAGTATATTATGGAAGGAGTAGAAATCAAAATATAAAACATTATTATGCTGAAATATACATATAATACATAAACGGTAGCAGGATGGCAAAATGGCATGGAAAAAGTAGTAGTATGTTAACTGTCAAAACACAAATTTGGTTGCAAAACCAGGAGTTAAAATAACCAAATAAAATGCAGTATTTTCTCAGCAGTGTGTGATTATGCAATATAACTTACTGCTATAGTATTTTGCAAAAAGTATAAGCATAAATGGTTGAAAAAGGGATTAGGTGTGTTCTAGGAAGAAAGGAGGTCTGTTGTTGTCTCTTCAACACAAGGCTGGTGTTATAAACTGCTGCTTGTAAAGTTTCCTAAACCATTTCTTGTTGGAAACTGGGAGGGTTGTCAGCTTGTTGTCTTGTTTTCCCCCCTTGCCGACTGGGAAGATGCTTGTATTTTCAGAACACCAGACATCCTGCTCTTAATTTGGGCTTCCAGGTGTTAAAAGGTAAATATTTTTAGCAAGCTGAAATAAATACTGTGAGAACAGTTTCTCTTCAGCCAAGTCCTTGGACTTCTTCTCTGATTACATTAGAGGCTGAACATAGCTGAATAAAATATGTTCTTTAAACAACATTATTTAGTCAATAACATAGTGTAGTAAAACCCTTGAAAGCATTTAATTTTTGTTTGTCATTACTTATCTCTGATATACAGTATTACTGTGTAGTGATTCTTGTGATATTTTAGCTTTTAAGTATTTTCATATAACAGAAATTCTGTTAGAACGATAAAGTTGGTTTTACATCCAGGGTTTCTTCACCAGACATCGCTTTCTTTATACTCATTTTCTGTATCAGGGGAGCAAACTTAAGAAATGTGGTGGTGTTAGCTATGTTGGAAAAAGCTATTTTTAAATTGTTAGCTGCTAATCAAAATAGCTAGTAGAATATTCCTTTAGATAGAGTTGATTTCATAGATAAGAATATTGGGGTTTTTTTTAATTATTAGCTTTCTAGAGGAAATACTGCTCTTTTACCTATGTCCACAAAAGTTCTTGAGTGGCACCTCAATACTCTCTGTAGAAGACTAATTTTATTTTTTATCAACTGCGATGAACTCTACAAGACTTAATTTCAAAAGTAAACTCAGTTTCTATAGGAGATGTATATGATTACCCAGGCTATTATCTTTATTTTATACTAAGTGCAAGGAAGAACAGAGCTAACATAAATTAAACATTGGAGCAAATAAATGTTAATTAAAAAGAAAACAAGCATCATAATTGTGCAAAGGAAATGTAATTCATTTTAAGTCCTTACTATTTTTTTTCATCTGAAGCCGCTTAGTGTTTAGGAAATAATCCAACTCGTGGAAGTGGAGCATATTATACCAGAATTATACTTCTCTCCTTGTCATAAAATACTCAACCCTTGGATTCCTGGGAAGGCAGCTCCAGAGCAGACATCCAGAGGGGGGATCAGACTTCTGTGCGCCTGCTGTAATGGCATCTGCAGATGCAGCACGCAGCTGGAGTGCTCTGAGGGATGCCAACATTTTTTTGGTTTTTCATAAAGCATTTTACTGTTATTACTCTGCCTTATCTTCTCCCTTCACCCCCCATCCTCCCCACACATTCCTATGTTTATTATTGAGGTCCCATGAGGATTTGTAGATACAGCATTTTTGAAGGGGAAAATTTATTTATCAACGTTTTTCCTTTTAAACTACATATTTAGTAGCAAGATTTGCTTTTGGGATATAGGTATATATATATTTGGGATACTTAACTTCTGAGCCCAGAATACCTTTTAATCCTTCCTTTACCAGTCATTGGTTGGATATTTGAGAGACATAGCTGTTAATGGCAAAGAATGAAACTAAATTCTTCCTAAATAAAAACCTTAGTAAAAAGTCTGCTGCCTTCAAAAATTTTGTGCGGTGTCCCTATTTATCAACAGACTTCAAAGTGTGTTAAATACTTTTTCAGCTTTCATGATGCATGAATTTGACTATTTACGTGTGATATGGAGATAGCTTTTTCCTGAAATACAAGAAGGATTTAATCAAAAAGCTTGTGTTCTTTTTGAACTGGCGATGCCTGGCACCTCGTGGCCCTGGCTGATCTGTGATCTGGTATCCACGTGTAGTCACCAATAGGTCACCGGTGCATGGGTGGCTTCTTCAGTTTTATTTCTGCCTGCTCTCACTAAGGTGAGGGTCTGCATCGGGAGCTCCCTGGTACCTCCACTCCCTTCTCGTGGCTCCACCGCTTCAGCCGTGCAGCCCACTCAGGTTTGCATCTGGTTTGGCTGAATTTTTTACACACGGTAGTATTTCGGCTAAAATAATTCTCCCTAATGATAAAATTGATTATAAGGTAGAGAAGGAAGGCTGGATTTTTTCCTTAGAAGCCTCTCTGTAAATACTGGATTTAATTAAATAACAATAATTAAATAATTTAATTTTTGAGGGGAAAAAAGCTGCATTAAATTTCATTCTACGAATGAAATACAAGTCATCAGTTATTCATTGTTTGGTGCTCAGCAAGTACAGGTAGAGGAATCCTCAGTCATGTTGAGGTTTTGAAATGCCATGTTTCAAAAATGAGGAACAATGATATTTGGACCTCATTAATCAAAAAACCCCAAACCTCTCTAGAATGAGAGAAGACAATATGTGCACGATACATACCGCTTAGGACTGGAAATGTAATTTAACAGGAACTACAGGGCCAGACACACCTTTGAAAATCTCAGGGCCCTTATTTAGAAGCTGGCTGCTGAATGTAGGATAAAATGTTAAGTTCCTATTTTTAAAAAAAATTGTGGACTTTCACAATACCTTTCAGATTTGTAATATTGTCAAACAGGAAAAATTAGGTTTGAATAGTTACAGATTGGCCAAGATCCCAGGACAGGGGCTGGGCTAGAAGTGCTTCTCACTGCTCAGGGCCACTGGGTTTTGCTCTTTCAAAACTGCTGAACAAACACTATTTTCTGTCATTTCTATCATATTTTCAAACACACAGGGGAACAAATGTGAGCCGTAGTGATGAAAATGAGTTTTGATGCCTTGAATTATCTTTTTAAAAGTACTAACCCAAGCCTTTTTCTTCCCTGTAGCCTTTTCTTCCGCTTATGAACCTCCACTGTTCCCCAGACGTCCACACATTTCTGTGCAAAGCCTTTGTCCCTGCCTGCCTGGAGCAAGTCCATGTGATTCACCCCTGTCGGAGCCTCTGTGAGAGGGTGCATTCCGACTGTAAGAAGCTGATGGACACTTTTGCAATCGCATGGCCTGAAGAGCTGGAATGTAGCAGGTGGGGTATTTTTCATGTTGACAGGCTGGTGGGGGTGATATATTCGTATTTGACCTAGACCGAGTCAAAAATCTGAGGCAAAATGTTAAATATCACCTTGCTTTAGCTTCCCCGTCACTGGTCACCCTACAGTGCTTATGCATAGGACTATTTTTTTATTAAAACTTTTTCATTAATCAAATGATCACCTGCATTTCCTGCTTGTGATTTTTTTGCAACAAAGTTCTGCAGCAGTTCTTTTCCATATTCAGATCCCTGCAAAAAGAAGCTTTATAAGTTTCTTAAAATTTAAATATTAAATATTTCAGCACAGTTTTTGCTTTGGTGTCTGATCTCTAAACTAGGGATGATCATACTTACTTCATGGGGTTTTTATAAATAATTGCTAACAAAATAATGAAATATAAAATATCCTGTATTTGAATGGACACAGAGCATTAAATAGTAGAAGCCTTATCTTATTCCTACCCCCTTAAATGTGCAAATACAATCTTGCATTGCTTTTCCTCTACTGTCAGCCAAAAGTCCCTTTTTTAAAAGTTTCGCCTTTTTCTCAAAGATGTTCCTGTATCTGTTCCAGAGAAAAGACAGTTAATAATAAATATGGGGAAAGGGTGACACTCTATATATTAAATAGAAACCACAGAAAACACTCCACTGTAATCTTCTTGAGATTCTGACCTTCAACTGCAGATATTTATAAATTATTAAAGCCAGATGTTGGGTTTGTTTTTTTTTTTTTCTAACACACATCAGGGCAAGAAGCGCAGGAAAGGAGAAGAGAGTGGAAACTCAAATCATGTTTTCTAACCCTCATGCAGTTGCTAATCTGTGACAGGGCTGAGAGGGACAGCAGTCCTGTGCTATGGTCCTTGGTAGAAATCTGTATCGCAGTGAATATGACAGATGGCATTAATAGCGTTGCCCTTAGTTCTGCAGAAAAAAAATTGAAGTTGGGGGGTTTTAAAAACAAGAAGGCATCAACTTCTGTGCAACAGAAGTGCCACTCAGTGCAGCAAATGTCTTCAAGAATTGCTTTGAAAAATTAGGAAAATTACAAGTGAATCCAGTCATTCAATATATCTTTCAAATGGCATTTAAATTAAATTACATTTTTCCAGGAACCGCTGCAGCTTTGTTATTCTACTACTGCTAGCATTTATTGAAAATAAGCCTGCTCTGTTCATATACGAAATGATCTCTGCCCAATAGCTGATATAAAGAAGTCCGTGTAATGCAGGATGAGATCCTGCTGCTGGAGCCCATGGCAGAGGAGCTGGCGTGAGGATGGGCAGTAGCTGCAATCCTGACATTCACACTCTTGTATTGTTACAGACATGCATAATGCCTGTTAAGACATGGGTGAATAAAGTCCATGCTGTTTCCGCACATGCTGGTGTGGCCCATGGTTAATGAAAGAATCTGCTACAGAATCAGTTTTCTTAATGATTAGGCTGCATTTATTTGGACAGCATGATAATGCAGAGAAACAAAGAACCGAAGGTTTTTTTAGCTCAAGCTGAGCTTGCAAAGTGACACCGAGGAATTCGTAATAGCATTTGACAAAGAACGTTTTGAGATAACAGAATCTTATTTTAAAAGCTAGAATGCAAAACTTGTTCTTTTTAAATACATGCTTATATTTGGAATGCATATAAATATAAATCCCTTTTTGAGTAAATGCTTACTTGCTTGAAGTGTGCTGACATAAAGTAGTTTGAAGATATGTCCAACACTGTTTATACTATATTAAGCTCACAAAAAGGTCACATATTGTGTCCTATTAAACCCTTGAGCTACTGAGTCTTGTGCAATTTAAAAATGAACATTATGGAGCTAGAAAAAGAAATGCTAAAATAGCAATCATTTTTTACAATGCTTATCTTTTTCTGCTTTTTCAATTAGGTGGGTTTATTGCTGACAACAATGAAATATCACTGTAACACAAAAAATTATAATAATAATCATATTCTAGTAATCACTTAATTGTAGATACTGTCAGTCTTCTTTGTTCCTTGACTGAAGCTTGCATTTTGACAAGATCATTGGCTGTCTCCAACAGTCTGCTGTTATCCAGATTTTAAAAAAGGAAAACTACTGTAAATATTTTTATGTACATACATGAACGTTTAGTAGAATTTAAGAATCTAAAGGAAAAATTGCTATTTGAGTGGTGTTTCATAAGCAATAAAACAACAGTTAGAGAACAGCAGGTAAACAGCTGTGTTTGAATGGTCTTTTAAACTGAAAAAAATTGAAGTCTGTTTTGTAAAATGATTTTTTTCATACAATACACATTTTGCATTATCTACAAAATTTAAGAGGGTTCAAAATGAGGTCTCTTTCATTTTTCTAAGAAATGATTATAGTTGAGAATGAGGGGCATTAAGCTATTTCCTCTTCTGTTTGTTTATGTAGACTAGTCAATTGTGATGAGACTGTTCCTGCCACTGCTGCTGTAACCACAGACTTACGTGGAACTCAGAAGACCCCAGGCCAGGCCCGAAGGGATTATGGGTTCTGGTGCCCACGGCACTTGCACACCACCAATGGACAAGGCTACAAGTTCCTGGGGATTGACCAGTGCGCGCCCCCGTGTCCTAATATGTACTTCAAAAATTACGAATTGGATGTTGCAAAAAGCTTCATCGGAATAGTGTCAATCTTTTGTCTTTGTGCTACGCTTTTCACATTCCTGACTTTTCTGATTGATGTTAAAAGATTTAGGTACCCGGAGAGGCCCATCATATATTACTCCGTCTGTTACAGCATAGTCTCCCTGGTGTACTTTATTGGGTTTTTACTTGGGAACAGAACTGCCTGTAACAAGGCAGATGATAAGTTAGAAATCGGTGAAACAGTTGTTCTTGGCTCCCAAAACAAAGCCTGTACTTTCCTTTTCATGGTTTTGTATTTTTTCACGATGGCAGGAACTATATGGTGGGTGATTCTTACGATCACTTGGTTCCTCGCAGCGGGAAGGAAATGGAGCTGTGAAGCTATTGCACAGAAGGCCATGTGGTTCCATGCAGTCGCGTGGGGAATACCTGGTTTTCTAACCATCATGCTCCTTGCGATGAACAAAGTGGAAGGGGACAATATCAGCGGAGTTTGTTTTGTGGGTCTCTATGATCTGGATGCCTCTCTGTACTTTGTGCTTTTGCCTCTGTGCCTTTGTGTGTTTTTCGGTCTCTCTCTTCTTTTAGCTGGTATTATTTCTTTAAATCATGTGCGGCAAGTCATACAGCACGATGGCAGAAACCAGGAGAAACTAAAGAAATTTATGATCCGCATTGGAGTTTTTAGTGGGTTATACCTGGTGCCACTTGTAGCACTTCTTGGATGTTACGTCTATGAACTGGTGAACCGGAAAATCTGGGAAACGACTTGGGTGTTTGACCACTGTGACCAGTACCACATTCCGTGTCCTTACCAGGCAAGTAGCAGTTTCCTTTATAAATAATACTGGGAAGTAAATTTAACAGAAACCCTTACTCATCACCATATCTACTGTGCAGTTAGTAAATTATTTTCACATTAAGTAATCAGTTCAAGAAATGTAGTGATTTGTTGCTTTTTAAGTCAAAATCAGTGGTATCATACTTTTGCTTTGAAATTTTTCACTAGTCATATTAATAGCACTCACTGATTAAATTCCAGCTCGTAGCTCTAAAGGGAATATGTAATCTTTACAATATTTTAATTTCACATTACAAATTGAGTTGGGGGAAGGATCATTCTTCACAGTATCTGTTCCTAAAAGTAGTTGCTCAGTATTTGGGTGCCTAGCTCAGAATCAGAGTAGCTCAGGTGGCTTTCTATCAGTTGATGCTGAAATAATGATTCCTGAAAATTGAGTCTAAATTGGATTTAAAATGCTGCTTTTAACCATAGATTTAAAATCACTTTCTTCTTTTTTTTTTCTTCGAAGTGTAGAATTGTAAACATTTGAAATTACAAAACAAATTTCCAGTATATTTTTTCCACGATAGCTGTCATTTGCAGGCTGATTTTCAGTAATGTGAAGAAATCTTTTTAAAAAGCAACCAAACAAAAAACCCCAAATAAATAAAAAACAAAGAAAAAAAAAAAAACCCCAAAACAACCCAACAGCAACCCAACAGCACTTTAAATTGCAGAGGTGTATAACATTTGACTCTTAAAAAACCAACTTATTTGGAAAGGCTTTTAAAGTAAATGTGCCGTGTTCAGTACTGTCTGTGGATTAAATCTCTAGTAAGTACATAAAACTCCCTGCAATCGTGAGTAATTTGTGGTTTGTTTCTTTCCATTTGAGAACAAACATAAAAGGAGACACCATGACTAAGAAAAATGCAGGTGTCTCTTGTCATCTTTCATTGCTTTGCACTTATGGTCTATGTTTTTCTTGCGATAAACTGTCATTACAAAGAGGAATATAAACAGAAGCATTGTGGAATGATAATCTGTAGATCCTTCTGCATTCTTAAACATCCTCTGTGTCCTCTCTGCTGAAGTCAGTGTAAGCTGAGAGTAGCACAGCTCACAGGCTTGGTTATTTTTGCTTCCGTTACCATTCTTAACGAGAGCAACTTAAATGGTCTAAAATACATAAGGCTGAACACAAAGCTTTTATGCTTTTTTATTTAAAAAAAAAAAGCACACCTTGGTTTGTAGTGCTTAAATATAACAGCTTGGTATAATAACACAGAAGGAGCATGTATTCTTAGCCTTTAATTAACCTACTGGAAAGAGTAAATAGCGACAGGGAATGTTACACAAAGACATAGGTAAGTGGAATCTGTCCCTGTAATAAACAGCGTGTGCTGACTGTGGAGGAGCTTGAAGTGGTGAGCCTGGCCCTGGCTTACCTGAGCTCGTTTGTAGCCTTTTATTACACTGGCCTGATCAAAACCAAACAAAAACAAACTTCAGTTTAAGTAGCCAGTGTTACCTGGCTAAAAAAGTAGTGACTTTCATAGATGGGACTGGCAGATAAGCCAAGTAATGTAAATTAAATTTGCAGCATGGGAGCAGAAGATAATCGTCTCTCACTGGGTTAAATGTCTCTGCTCCTATGATCCTGTTCTGCAAATAGGTGGATTAATTTTGCAATAAACAGAAAACTACTATGTAGTTCCCTGCGGCTCTGTGAAGATGCTGTCTAATCTGATTAACTCCCCACTCATCCACTTACTGTTTCTTTTAAGTTGAAGGGATAAATCTTATGCATACAAACTATCTCTGAAGAACATGGTTACTAATACTGTTACCCCCAAAATTATCTTTCCTTTCAATTTAAAAGAAAAATATTTCCTTCTGACTAATCTCCTCTCTGTGTATTCAGCTGTAGGCATTAACCAGCTCTGACTTGACGGTACACGTCTAACATTTGTCCGCAGCACAAGCCTCAACAAAGAACAACAGCCATAAGGAGAGAGTCTCTCTTTTACATAATTTATTTGGTTTCTGCATTTAAAAAATAAATCAATGAGTATATGTTCTTCTTTGCATTTATTAAACTTTGTTATCTTCTAGGCAAAGGCACTGGCAAGACCAGAAATATTTTTGTTTCTGATGAAATACTTGCTGACATTAATTGTTGGCATATCTCCAGTCTTCTGGGTGGGAAGTAAAAAGACCTGTTCTGAATGGGCCAATTTCTTCAACAGAAATCGCAAAAGAGAGTAAGAACAAATATTTTTTTTTTTTATTCCTGTTTTTTAAAGTGTATACTTAAAAATAAGTTGGATTTTAGACACGTTACTTTATAGCTCAGGTGATCAAAATGTCCTTAGAACCCTTCTCTTTGGAGTCTAAGTGCTGCACACGGGCATCAGCAAAATGCCATTGGAGTCTGATGAAGTTTTACATATGCAGTGACCTTTTGACAACATTCTCTGACAATAGAAAATATTTTCCTCTGCTGATCTGTTCTCTTTCATAGAGCGAAAGACATTTTGTTGTGTTTAGCGCTGGCTGATACAGCTCTGGTTTCCGGTTGAATGAGGGAAGATAATTTCAGCCATCAATTTAGATCCTTTCACGTGTTCCGACTGCTTCATTTGGCACAGTACTTAGCTGTGTTTGCTGTCATGCAATAATAACATCCTCTGCTTTTCTACTCTGCCAGGCTTGTCTTATTTTAAAATTAATTTTCATTGAACCCTCCTTAGTATCACTTTTATTATCTTAATCTACTGTTCCTTTTTTTTTTTCTGAAACAGAATAATTCAGTTCTGTTACTTAATTTTAGAAAATTTATGTGTGGGTTTAAACAGATTATAAATGACATCTCCGTTTCTTGTAGCTGTCATTTTTTTAATTCCTTGATTATTTCTTTTTAGATGATCTGTGTTACTAATGTAAAAACACAGTATAATTTATCTTTTTTTTTTTTTTTTTTTAAAACACCAGAGTGATTTAGGGTAAAGGAAGAGATGGGTCAAACATTTCATCGTAGGCTAATTCCAAAATAAAATAAAATAGTTATCCGCCACTCTAAGGTCCGAATAACCACACACAGAGGGATATCCTGTTTTTTTTTTTTTTTTTTTTGGATTTCCCAAGACAGCGGTCCTTAAGCTTGTTTTATTTTACATCTACATTCCTTGATGGTGAGCTTATAGCTTCCTTTCCCTCTCCTCTCTTTTTCCACTTCCTGTATAATTTTTTGTGTGTGTTTCAGATGTTAACTACTTTCAGCTATAAGAATTTATAAATAATGAAGTCTGTTTTATAATACTTACCTTTTTTTCACATGAATGAGGTTTACTTTACATAAAGTTAGTTTGGTAATACAGCTGTTTATGAGCTAATCCTGCTTTCCTCTCTTAGATGATTAATCTACTGAAGTCATTGGACCTACTTGCAGAAGTAAGAAATGTAGAAATCTGCTTTATTTAATTGTTCCACAGACATAATTACTTTGGAGCCATTAGGATCAGATTTTTTTTTTGTCTTTTCTTTTCACATACAATTTTTTTCCTTGTGTTCATTAACATCCAGCTCAGATTGCATCGTTGGTTGCTGCTCTTTCACATTTTTGTGTACAAAGCTGTATGACATTCTACCTGAGGTTATCCTCTTCGTTCAGTTACGTGCTTGTATTTTCTTTCAGTCCAATCAGTGAGAGTCGAAGAGTGCTGCAAGAATCCTGCGAATTTTTCTTGAGGCACAATTCCAAAGTTAAACATAAAAAGAAGCACTACAAATCCACCTCACACAGGTTGAAAGTCATTTCGAAGTCAATGGGGACGAGTACGGGTGGCACCACAAATCATGGAACCTCTGCGGTAGCAATCACTAATCACGATTACTTAAGCCAAGAAACTGTTGCAGAAATTAAAACCTCTCCAGAGACATCTGAGAAAGAGATAGAGGCAGATGGAACATCAGCCCGAAGGGTCGAGGAGGGTGAAAACAGTGGAGATCAAATGTTATCTAGTTCTAAACTGACCGTGGAGCAGGTGGAAAAAAGAAACAAAGCCGATAGCACGTGTGATATGAGTAGCTTGACTGAGAGCATGAAGAGAGCAGGTGAAGGAAGGTAAGGCTCCTTAACGCGATCTTTTGCTTGTTCATGCCTATTACTGCTATTTTTGTAAGTTTTCTGTTTCTTCTCTCTGATCTCAGTAGACAACTAACCCTCAGTAGCTGTTAAGAGAACTGTAATTCTTACAAACTGTTTCACATGGCCATGCATGTTTAGCATATGAGCTATTTTATGTTTTTGTAGGATTCTTCTTTTCCTTTTAAGCGTTGAGAGCTTGTAAGATGTTTTGTGTTGTTGAACAGCGACCCTCAAGAAATGTGTGGCTGCAATGCAGTCATGTTGAGACATGAAAAAGAACAATGGTGACCCTCAACTTGGAAAAGTATACATCATTGTATTGCCTTCTCTTGAAAACAATATAGCTTAAGTTATATTATGATTTCATTGCTAAATGTATTTTTTCTAGTGTAATGCACTGTGCTTAAAATTGACTCCCTGTGGTTTATTTTTCATTATTTACAGAATAACTCCTAAAAACGATTTTATTGATTCTCCTGCATTACAAAGGAGCTGTTCCCAAATACCTGATGTCTCACAGTCACCTTCTGTGTCACTACTTGTCTACTCGGCTTCAGACACTAGAAGAGAGTTGGATTCAGGAAACAGTTCAAACCCTTGAAAGACTGAGTTTTTATATGAACATTTTCAATGTATAAGACAAATACGGATTCTGTGTTACACTGGAAATAACAGATATTTTGTGCCTTATTAAAAAACACACTTATCTTGCTTTGCACTTAAAAAATGTAAGTTTTGCTGTGGGGACAGTTAGCAATACTGTAATATATCTAATCCTATCCAGGAATAATGGAAATTGAAGTTCTGTAGGACACAGCTGGATTGACTAGCAATAATTTAAGAAAAGGATGAGAGAAATAAATATTATTCCAAATAGAAAGAACACTTTGCAATGAATAGCATTAAAATAATGCTTAGAAAGCACTGTTACTTTTCAAGGCATAAAAGTTCCATCTGCGTCTTTGATATTTTTCAAAACTTGTTAATCTTTTTCCTCTTTTTTGCTGTGTCTTAAACAGCAGTATCACTTAGATACACAAATTTATAAATATTCTCTAAATAATGTCATGATGTATCAATTACAGCACTGTTTTATGGTAGCTTGTACACTGAATATGAAAGGGAAACTGGAATTAGTGATTTATTTTGTACATAAAAACAAATTTTGTAAATAACTGACTGCATAAGGTCGATATTTAGAACTACTGTTTTGTATGTATTGTACAAACTTGGTGAAGTTCACATGCTTCCTGTAGGCTGTGGTGGGCAGAGAAGGTGACTTTGTTCTGGGGCAGAGGGACTGTACCTGTACAGGTGAGGTGACTGTACCTGTACAGGTGAGGTGACTGTACCTGTACAGGTGAGGTGTGCCACACGCTGTGCGTCGGGGCCGGGCAGGGCAGAACCCCGGGCATCCCATGACGGGGACCGTGCGTTCGATGCAGCAGCGCTGCAGGAACATCCTTCTCGAAGCCCCTCCTGCTGTGGTGTTCAGAGCATCGTGCCAAAGAAGAAATCACTGCACAACATCCCTCCTGGCATGGGGGACAGACTCTGAAGTGTGTACACTTTGGGGTGTTTTTTTTTACAGGGCTGCAGTGAAAGTGTATGTTTCACTTTATTTCTATGCAAGTAACATTAATTTTTAAAAATTCTGTAGAGATATCTTGCAGAAAATAAACTTTTGAGTTATTAATATACAGGTTTGTTTAACATTATATTTACTTAAAAGAGGGCCTTAACATTTTTTCTACAAAGCTAAATTTTCTATATGCCACAGCAATATATTTTCTTTAAATCAAAAAGGCCTTAATACATGTAGCCTTTCTTATGATGGGGTGGTCCCCAAGAGCGAGTACTACTGACATGAATAAGAATTTCATCGTTTTGCTCTTAAGAAATCCTGGCTCCAATTAAGTCAATGTGATTTATTACCTGAGATAATTTGGAGACAGGATTTTGCTGTTTTCTAAACCTAAATGTCAATGCGTTTTGTGAGACTGTTCAGCATCTTGTGTGTGATTACTAATAAGAGTATTTCTCAGTACTTTGATAGTATTGTCTTCCAATTTGGGCAGCATTCAAGGTGATGCTTTGAACAGTCAATCAAAATTGCATTGTACAAGGGTCATGTAAATGCTGGAACAACAGGAACTACAGTTCTGATAAACCAAAGTTGTTAGTTTTATCCATCATGTATTAAAACTGGAATGTATTTACCTTTATTACACCGTCTGCATTTTAGCATTTGTAGCTTATTGCCTTAAATAGGACATGCCACTTCTATTATCATCTCCCCATGGAAAAAATAGAGAATTCTTGCTGCTGAGAAAGGTTTGAAAAATCTCCTGTGAAAACTGCACACCAAGAACCCTTCATTCTTGTAGTCACATTTGTAAACGGGTAACTTTATACACATGTTCTGTAGTTTTGTTATTACTGTCTTTGTTAGTAATAAAATATACTGTTGTATAGTAAGAGCTTCTGAGTTGCTATTTCTTATTAAGTAGATGTAGCATGTCTGTTGCTCTGCTACTGTAGTATTTCTGCACCCAAAATACTTTAGTGTATTTTTTTCTTAGAGCTGTGTGAGCTAAGAAGTGCCGCAATGGTTTTTTTTCCTCCTGTGTGAGAAACCAAGACAGAACAGTGGTGGGAATTGTTCACCTGAACACGGAGGGTTATGGCAGAATGAGAAAATGAGCTAGTTCTTTCATCCTAACATTAAGAGCATTCTTTCTTTCATGGCTTCTAAAGACCTTTGGATTACATAGAATGTGTATTTGCACACAAGGTGCTTGCTGCCACCTTCTTAAAATGTTGATATCAATTTTAACCTTTTTTTTTTTTTATATTATTCCTTTTTAGGTAGTTCAGAAAAAGTTCTGGTTCTGTGGTAACAACTCTAAAAAGGATAAATACAAGGTAATTTTGAAGTTACAGCAATACTGTGGGATTAAAAATAGACACATTTTCAAAGAACTGTGAAATACTAAGCAGTAATCTTAACGTGCTCTGACAAGCTCTGCTGACAATCCTGCTTCAGCAGGGGAGTTGGACTAGATTATCTCTATGGTCCCTTCCAATTCTAAAAATTCAGTGAAATTCAGTGAAATCATAACATTCATGGGAAGAGAAATGCATCAGTGGCAGAATGAGACTGCAGCACTTCTGTGTTCCAGTGCTGCTCTACCAGAAATAACGTACAGGCTCTGAATTCCCATGGTGGTGACCTCTACAGCTAAAGAGATTGTGATCTCTGGATGCTTTAACCTTGAAACACCCAAGCAGTAGCTGGAAAGTTAATCAGCTGTTTGAATGCCCACAAAAATGATGGGAGGAAAGAAAAGAGGTGCAGAGATGAGCCAAGGTATGGAAGGCTGCCTTACCATGATGGGCTGTAGAGAAACTCATAAACAATTTTTCTAACTAAAGGTGTTCAGGTTATAGAATCATAGAATGGTTTGGGTTGGAAGGGACCTCAAAGATCATCAAGTTCCAGCCCCCCTGCCCTGGGCAGGGACACCTCCCACCAGACCAGGTTGCTCAAAGCCCCATCCAGCCTGGTCTTGAACACTTCCAGGGATGGGGCATCCACAGCTTCTCTGGGCAACCTGTTCCAGTGTGTCATCACCCTCACAGGAAAGAATTTCTTCCTAAGATCTAATCTAAATCTCTCATCTTTCCATTTAAAACCAGTACCCCTCGTCCTATTGCTACATTCCCTCATAAGGAATCCCTCCCCATCTTTCCTGTAGGCCCCCTTTAGGTACTGGAAGGCTGCTATAAGGTCTCCCTGGAGCCTTCTCTTCTTTCTCTTCTCCAGGCTGAACAACCCCATCTCTCTCAGCCTGTCCTCATAGCAGAGGTGCTCCAGCCCCCCGATCATCTTTGTGGCCCTGCTCCGGACCTGCCCCAACAGGTCCATGTCCTTCTTGTGCTGGGGGCCCCAGAGCTGGATGCAGTACTCCAGGTGGGGGCTCACCAGGGCAGAGCAGTTACACCAAATATGCAGTTGCCAACATTTTTTGTTAGTAAAAAAAAAAAAAAATTAAATCAGCTGTAGACAGTCAATTTCTGAAGTGGCTACTCAAAATACAGAAACAAAAAACCTTTAAGTAGAACAAAATGCACGAGTCTCAAAGGAATGCAATTCCCACAGGGTCCTTTCTAGGAAGTTACGAAGGTCAAATAACCCTGTTATTTGCTTTCATCTGTTACCTGACCGAAGTTAAAACTGAAAATAGACAATTCATATTAAAAGGGCTTTTCTTGAACTGTAAGAATGACTTCTTACTGGAACATCTGCACCAACTGGAGTCATTTAATCGAGACTGGCTGTCTTCTGAAAGATGCGCTGTAAATCCAACAATTTAAAAGATTGATGCAGCCATTTTAGTCTGGTTTTCTGCCTTTGTTTGCAAAAAGCTATAATAAAGGATGCTGACAACTCCAAGCCTTAAAACATGTGTGCCAAATGGTCGTTTACTTCTTTCTCTTAATGGTTCGATCATAAATCACTTCAAAGTATGCGTTATACTGAGTTTTCAGGTTGCAGATAAAGATCTTTCAAAGGACAGGATGAATTTAATGTACTAAAGTGAAGTTGATTCAGCAACTGAAATTACTGATACAGTAGTTTTATGGTGTAAGTTGTGTATACTGTATTGTTCTGTCCTATTCTGCTAAGTTTTTTAATGAAAACTGGGTAAAGTTTAGCTAGAGTATAAAATAAATATATGCACATACTTGGAAAAAAATAATCCAGGTTTGAAAAACTAACCCAGGATATGAAAAAAAATAATTATTTTGTTTATTTGTAGCATTTAAAAGGTGCTATTAGCAGATAATAGAAATATCTGCAGTAATTGAAAACTCTTTAAATCCTTTTGCTTTTTGAAACTTTAAAAATTATACCCAAACCAATTCAGAAGTGGCGCCCTAACAAGCTGAAGCATCGTACTCTTTTCTTTGCCAATCCTTCAACTGATTTACAGAGAACTATAGGTCCTTTCCTTTACAGAATATGTATTATATTTGGTTTAAAGACGGTCAAATCCAGTTGAATTTTAGAAGCAAAATTAAAAAAAAAAAATTAATATGAAAAGTTGAACTTCTTTAATAAAAATAAGTTTAGCATTCTGCAAAGGGCTTCAAAATGCCGTAGCTATGTAGGATTGAGGAATAATATTTGTCTCTGGAGTCTGCCCACCCAGCCTCAGTGTGCAGCTGCCAATCCCTGCACATCAAAGGAGAAATGCCACATCCCTCCCTGGACACCGGCCGCTTGTGGAACGGGTCTTTGAAGGTATCTGGCCACTCTTTGTTTGGCCGCGCTCACTGGGAAAGGTCTCTGCCAGTGTTAACCACGGGTATTTGCAGTCATTTGGGCGGCTGCCACCAAAGGTATCTTAGAGTCTCACAAGAATAAATGTTACTTCCTACGCATTGCCTTTTTTTGCACTTACTCTTTTAGTTTTGTCCCTTATCTTTTTTTTTCCTTTTTTTTTTTTTTTTTTTTTTTTTTTTTAGTATAGTTTTTTACAATTTATAAAAAAAAAAAAAAAAAAAAAAAAAAAAGTTCTAGGAAAAATATTAAACCC